ACTGTACCAAGTACACTGGGACCAGATGCACTGTACCAAGCACACTGGAACCAGGCGCACTGTACCAAGCACACTGGGACCAGGCACATTGGAACCAGGCGCACAGTACCAAGCACACTGGAACCAGGCGCACTGGAACCGGGTGCACTGTACCAAGCACACTGGAACCGGACGCACTGGAACTAGATGCACTGGAACCAGGTGCACTGGAACCAGGCGCACTGTACCAAGCACACCGGAACCATGCGCACTGGAACCAGGTGCACTGTACCAAGCACACTGGAACCAGGCGCACTGTACCAAGCACACTGGAAGCAGAGGCACTGACTGATGGGGATACCAGCAGCTGGTGGAATTTAAACTCAGTGAATAAATCTGGAACTGAAAGCTGGTCTCAGTGACGGTGACCATGACACTGTCCTCAATTGTCCTAAAAAACTCATCCTTTTCACTAATGTCCTTTAGGGAGGGGAATCTGCCCTCCTCACCTGGCCTGGCCTATATGTGACTCCTGACCCACAGCAATGTCCTCTGAAATGGCCGAGTGAGGCACTCAATTCAGGGGCAATTAGGGATGGGCAACAAATGCTGGCCCAGCTCGTGTTGCTGACATTTGATTAAAGAATAGGCAAGGGAAGGTCCTCAGGTCATGGAAGATGTTTTATAACTCTGCTTTTTTGCCCCCTGGGGTTTCACTTCTCCCACTCGCCAGGATGTTGATTCAGCACCACATGCAGCTCTTTACCTCAGCAGTGACGGGTGCCCTGGTTCTCCCCTTGGCATGGCTCTCCGCCTCCCTGTGTGCCCACACACTGTCGGCTACGCACTTGTTGGCTGTTGCTACAGGAGGACCACGCTGACCAGCAGCTCCACTGCCCATTGGTGTAACCTGCTGCTCAGTGACGAGAAAACAGACACAGTTCACCGCTGCTCCATACAATCCCCCAACCCCCTATGCTCCTTCACATGCCCCACGTCTGCTGTGTGACTATCAGCCATCCCCATGGGACAGGGTTCTCTCCCCCTGCTCGTCCTGCTTCCCCCAAACCCCAACCCCTGCTGCCCCAGTGCCCATGTCCTGTCCAGTGAGCTGGCACTCCTGGCATCCCATTGGAGGTGGGTTAGCATTCATGAAGCTCCTATCTCTACTCGCTGTTATAGACTTGTTAATCCCAATGTCATCCCCCCTGAAGGGAAAACCCCACACATGGCACTAGCCATTCAGGAACCTGGAATCTTTACCACTTCACCAAGCCCCATCTCAACAGTACAGTAACAATCATCTACTGATCAAACACCTCTCACCCTCATCCTCAATCCACCCAGGGCACTCTTGGGCCTGGCACTATATTGGAAAGGGCTGGCTATGGTATGTACTGGTCTCTTGGGCGAATGCCAAAAGTAGCTTCAGTGGGGATGGGGGTAATGTGGAAGGGTTTGTAGCTCACTGGGGGAAGGAAGGGCTGGTTTGGTGTTGGAGTGGGGGTGGGGGAGTGGGGCAGATTTTTCCAGCCCCGCCCCCACTCCCTCAGTCCCCCTTGGCAGCCCGAGGTGGCAGCAGTGACAGGATGGTCTCCCCAACACACCTCACAGTGTGAGGCAGAGAAAGGATCCTCCAGTTAGTGAGGGGTTTGCCTGGCATTTTTGGACCTTTTTTATGTTCATGTGTTAACACCCCAACACTGAGCAGATTCCTTCAATTTTTTCAGTGGAATTTGGGGTAAGCCATTGGATTTCCAGGGGGTGTGACCCCATTGTAACTGGACCCTCTACAGTCCTTGGCTGGGAGGGGGAGAGAAGCGGGAAGGGAGGGACAGGAGAAGGTGAATCTCCTTGAAGAGCTTCAGCCAGGCGTTTGGAGAAGGTGCCGACCACTCGAGAGTGTTGGGAAGCTGGGTGAAGTGACTATACATTGACTCACCTTTGCCTTTGTTTTGAGGTTTGGATATTTCACAGGCTAGCCCCTGGAACATCATGGTGCACAGACACCGACATTGGCCATCCAGTTGGATCAACGTGCCACCGTTCATACACGGGGCACACTTACAGATACTGTACTCCGCTTCATAGTCAGACGTAGCTCGCTCCAGGTTCTGCCGGATCACTGAGGCATCCCTCATCGTGGTTGGCACCAAACTGTAGACTGGCTTCAACTGGCAAAGACAACATTGTAGCTTCAGTCACCAACGTGTGGTAGGAAATGATCATAGAATCATACAATGCAGAAGAGGCCCTTCAGCCCATCAAGTCTGTACCATTGAAACTACAATCAATCTGTGAAAGTCCCACTCTCCCGCACTTGGCCCATAGTCTCAAATGTTATGACATTTCAAGTGCTCATCCAACTACTTTATAAAGGTTGTGAGGTTTCCTGTCTCAACTCCCCTCCCAGGCAGCACATTCCAGAAGCCCACTGCCTCTGGGTGAAAAGGTTTTCCTCATAACTTCTCTAAACCTCCTGATCCTCACCTTAATATGATACTCTCCTGTTGTTGACCCTTCAAATAAGGAGAGCAGCTGCTTTCTATTCACCCCATCCTTAACCCTCATAATCTTATTCACCTCCACCAAGTACCTCTCCCTCCCCACACCCCACCTCCAGCCTTCTCTGTTCCAAAGAAAACAACCCAAGTTTATCTAGCCCCTCTTCATCTGCTGGTCAATCCAGGCTGTCCTCACATGACAGGAATGTCAGAATATTATGAATTGACATTTAGTACTCCTCACTCATTCTACACACAAACCAACTTGTAACCAACTTCCCCAATGCTCTCCCTGTCTCCATAATCTTTTAATACCCTTTATTTAAGTTTAAGACTTTAGTCTCAGATCCAAATTTCCCACCTTCAAACTGAAAGTGGGAATTATGCTATAGTATGGCTGCAGAGATTTTGGAATGCATTGGTTGTAATTTTCCAAAATTTTCTAGATCCCAGCAGACTAGAAAACTGCAAATACGACAGCAATATTCAGGAAAAGGAGTGAGACAGAAAACAGGAAAAAATGGCTAATTAATCTAACTTCTGTCATTAAGTCCATTATGAAAGAAATAGTAACAGGAAGTTTATAAAATAGCAACAGCAGAGTCTACATGGTTTTATGAAAGGAAAATAATGTTTGACAATTTTATTAGGGTTCTTTGAGGAGGAACAAGCAGGGTAAATAAAGGGGAACTAGTAGATGTGGTGTATATGGATTTCCATTTGACATTTGATCAGGTGCCACATAAAAGGTTAATACATAGGATAACAGCTCATGGTTTTGGGGGTGACAAGTTGGTATTGGCGGAGCACTGGCTGACTAATAGGAAGCAGAGTTACGGATAAATCAGTAATTTTAGATTGGCAAATTGTAACGAGTGACATACCACAGGGATTGGTGGTGGGGATTCAATTATTTATATTCAAAGAGTTGGATGAAGGGACTAATGGGATTGTAACAACATTTGTTTGTGATACAAAGAGAGGTAGGAAAGGAAGTTCTGAGGAGGATATAAAGAGCCCACAAAGGCATAGGACAGGGTAAGAGAGTTGGCAAAAAAATTGGCAGATGGACTAAAGTCTGGGAAGATGTGAGGCTGTCAATGTTGACATTTGGAATGGAAAAGCAGAATCTTGTTTAAACAGACGGAGATGCAGAATGCTGCGGTGCAGAGGGATCTGGGCATCATTCTATGTTAATCACCAAAAGGTCCAGCAAGTAATTAGGAAGGCTAATGGAATGTTGGCCTTTATCACAAGGGGGCTGGAGTATAAAAATAGGGACATCTTGGTACAGGGCTGTGGGAAACCAGCAGGTTACTGTAGACAGATCTTGTCTCTTTATTTAAGGAGAGATATTTATATTGAAAATAGTTCAGAAGAGGTTCACTAGGCTAATGCCTGGTTGCCTTTGAGGAAAGTTTGAGCAGGTTGCACTTCCTCTGATGGGAGTTTAGAAAGGTAACACTGAGGGATTGGATAGGGATAATGAGAACATGTTTCCTCAGTAAGATTTAGTATGATCCAGGAGGGCTTTGCACCCTGGAAGGAGAGCTCAGATTGTAACTGAAGTTTCAAAGATTATTAAAGGGAACTGACACAGAGTTGATTTGAAATGAAATACCATAGGACCGAAGGGGAATAAATAACTTGCATTTGGGGAAAAATGTTTCCCTTCCTTAGCAACGTGCTTGCCTTCAGCAAAGCACGGGTGGTACGGTGGCTCAGTGGTTAGCACTGTTGCCTGACAGTGCCAGGGACCTGGGTTCAATCCCACTCTTGGATGACTGTTTGTTTGTGTGGAGTTTGCATGTTCTGTCCATGTCTGTATGGGTTTCCTCCCAGAGTTAGGCTGCTTGGCAATGCTAAATAGGCTGTATTGTCCAGGGATGGGTGGGATGTCTTTGGGAAAGGGCACTGTGGACACAGAGATATACAGCATAGAAACAGACCTTTCAGCCCAATATGTCCATGCTCACCAGATATCCAATATAAACTTTGGCCCATATTCCTCCAAACCCTTCCTGGGAGTTGCTGAGGATCAAAGAGACCCTGGCATGTATAGACACTGGTCCCTTAAGATATCGGGCAGATGGATAAAGTGGTTAAGGAAGTATACTTGCTTTTGTTAACCAAGGCACAAGGTTTCAGTGCAGGGAGGTTAATGTTAGAACATATAAAACATTCGTTAGGCCATAGAGAGAGTATCATGTGCAGTTCTGGAATCCACATTATAGGAGGGATGTGATAGCCCTGCAGAGGAGATTAACCAGGATGTTGCCTGAGCTGGAGAGTTTCTGTTATGAAGAGAGATTGGACAGTTTGGGGTTGTTTTACTTGGAGCAGAGGAGACCGAGAGGGGACCTGACTGAGATGTATAAAATTATGAAGGGCACAGACAGGGTAGTCAGGAAGAAACATTTCCTCTTGATGGAGGGATCAATGACTGGGGTTGAGGAGGGTGGGGGGTGGTGGTGTTGATTAAAGGTGAATGGCAGCAGGTTTAGAGGGGATATGAGGAAAATGTTTTCACCCAGAAGGCGTTGGGAATCTGGAACACACAGCCTGTAAGGGTGGGGAGGGGCAGAAACCCTTATCACATTGAAGAAGTATTTAGATGTGCACTTGTGATGTCAAGACGTACAAGGTTATGGGCCAAGAGGTGGAAAATGGGATTAGAGTAGTTTGATACTTGTTTTTGACCAGCACAGACTCGATGGGCCAAAGGGCCCTTTTCTGTGCAGTAGATCTCTATGACTGCATGAATGCCTAAGTTGGACCCGCCTCTGCTCCATTTCTGGAGAGCAGATTCCATTCCCTAACACACGTGCTGTGTGAGAAGGGTTTTCTCACATCCCCCTGGCTTTGTTTGCCCATCGTTTTAAATCTCAGCCCCTCCACTTCTGGGAGCAGCTTTCTCCCAATCTATTCCGGCCAGCACCCCCCATGATGTCGAAAACCTCTATCAGATCCCCTCTCAGCCTCCTCTCTCCCAGGAGAACAGCCCCAACTTCTTCAATCTATCCTTATCACTGAGGTTTCTCGTTCCTGGAATCATTCCTGTGAATCGCCCCACACTGTCTCCAATGCATTCACATCTTTCCTATAATGTGACACCCACACGACTGTATAAAATCCTCCAACACACAACGCATCCCCCCACCACCCTCCTCAACCCCAGTCATTGATCCCTCCATCAAGAGGAAATGTTTCTTCCTGACTACCCTGTCTATGCCCTTCATAATTTTATACATCTCAGATAGCGTCTTGCACAATTTCAACATAATCTTGTGCTCTCGAAATCTATGTCCCTATTAAAGAACACTGTGAGTGTTATTAACTGCTCTCTCCACGTGTCCTACCACCCTCAACGATCTGTGCACATACACCCCCAGCTCCCTCTGCTCCTGCTCCCCCTCTAGAATTGCACCCCGTGTTGTACAGTGTCTTGCAAAGTTGTTCTAAAGTTGAACCCTCTGCATCTGTACTCAGCGTGCTGACCTGTTGCCTCACTAATGCTGCAGCGTGGATCAGTGAGCTGGCCCAGTCTGTGTATAGAGAGACATCGAGAGGCTGCTTTCTCTCAGACAGCAGCACATTTAGCTTGGTCAGAAATACTGTGTCACCGCCAGTTACAAATGACAGCACATCCTTGATGATGGGCTTTTCCGTTTTTGAAGCTGAAAAAAAACAGACGAGCTTTTAAAGTGAGCACGAAGAAGAACAGAAGTGGTTCTGGAGCTGCTGCTTCCTGCTGAGTAACACTGCTGAGGTTCGGTGCTTCATTTTGGGGATTCTGTAACCCTGCGCACAGGCTGCAGTACAGAGACCCCAGTGGAATAACTGAAGCAAGGCTCCCGGAGGGAATTCCCTGGGAGCTGAGGCAGCCAGGCAAAGGGCAGCAGGGGTATGGGAATGCTGCCACCTCCAGTTTCTCTGCAAGCTGCACTCACACCATCCTAATGATGACATTCTCACCATTACTTCATGGAGAAATAGGCCTGGAATTCACTCCCTAACAGCACTGCGTACAGACTGAACCCTAAGAATTGCAGCAGCTCATCGTCACATTCTCAGGGGTAAATCCATGATGCTGCAGTCAGGGACACCCACATCCTGTCAATAAAAAACAAAACAAAAAGAACACAGAACAATACAACACAGGAACAGGCCCATCAGCCCTCCAGGCCCTGCACCGACACATTCTGCCCTACTGTACTAAATCTCTATTCACTTACAGGATCCGAATCCCTCTATGGCCTTTCTACTCTTCTTTTCATTAAATACAAAGACAGACAGAGTGGGAAATAACACATTCCTGCACAGGACCTGGGCTTGGACTGTGCTGCTGTCCCTGTCCCTGGGAGTGTTTGATG